TGGCATCAGTCAGAGGAAACTTGGGCAGGGCCATGGGAATTAATTTATTCCAGTGGGCCCATTGGAATTCATTCATTCAATACACATTTGTAAGCATCTAATAAGTACAGAGTACTATGCCAGGTGGTAGAGTAGAAACAGTGTTTGGAAAAAGGACAGCCCCTGCCCTCAATGGACCTTATTGCCTAGTAGGAGGTTAAGACAATAATATAGCAAAATATACCATTTTACTCTATTAAAGTTGTATTTTATTTAAAAGTTGTTATTTTATTATGTTTATTATTATATTTATTATGTTATTTTATTAAAGTTGTATTTATTAAAGTTGTAATGTATTGAAGTTGCAAAAAGAAGTGTATATGAAGCCCAAAGGAAAAGGTCCTAACTAGCTGGTGGAGGATGAAGATGAAGATGAGGTTAAGATTAAGAAAAGCTTAAGGGAGGGGATGGCATTTAAAACAATATGTTTTTAAATAGCAGTTGTGTTTTAAAGATTGGGTAGGAAATTTGTAGGCAAAAAGTGGAAGAGAGGACATTGTAGCCCTGGGAACAGCATGTGCAAAGGTATGTGCAAAGTGACAGAGCAAAAGACATATTTGTAGGGACAGACAATAGTCCAAGTTGGGATGTATGAAAGGAATACAACAGTGTAAGACTGGATAGTGGGTTAGCACCAAATTGTGGAGGGTCTAAAGAACTACCCAAAGGTGTTTAAACTTGAGTTGGTAGACAATAGAAAGCTATTGAATAATTTTGAGCACAGAAGTGGCCTGGCCAGACTCATGCGTAAGAAAGGTTATTTGAGAAGTTTTATAATTATAGATTATGCATGGATAAGAGTCAACAGTAGGAAGAACTAGTAAGGAGATTATTAAAATAGTCCAGGTGGCTATTAATGAGAGATCATGTTAGGATAGTGGCAGTGGAAAAAAAGAAGATCATAGGCTCATAAATTTGTAGCTGGAAGGGTTCTTAGAGGTCATTGCCAAATCTTTACATTTGAGGAAACTGAGGCCTATAGAGATGAAGTGACTTGCCCAAGGTCATTAAGTGTCACAGCCAGGATTCAAAGCCACATCCCCTGGCTCTAAATCTAGTGCTTATTTCTACTTTGCCATGTGATGTAAGAGATGCTGAGGAAGAGGAATTGGTAGGACTTTGGTAAGTAATGATAAGAGAAATAAAGGAGAGAGATTTTTAATACAATCCTAAGGTTTTGAAAATGGGAGACAAGGTGAATGAACGGCAGTGCCACAGATAAAACTATATGACTGGACACAGTATTGTACAGGTGAAAGAGCACAGGCTGAGGAGTTGAAGACCTGGGTTCAAATTCTACCTCTGTGGCTTACTACCCCTGGACCTTGGACAAGTCATTTAACATCCATGGGCTTTGGAGGAGGTTGACTAGACGAGATCTGAAGTTCTGTTCAGCCCCATATCTAGAAACCTGTGCTCCTAAATAGTGAAGTTGTAAGGAGGAACACTTAGGGGTGGCAACAGAAAATGAAGGTCTTGGGCATCAACGTCATGTGCTAGTGGTTGGGCCAGAAGTGTCAGCAGATTGTTTTTAAGAATGGGGGAGCATATCTTTTTTAGATGAAGAGAGATAATGCAGTGTAGTGGAAATGGGAGTGCTACTGGAATCAGGAAGATGTGAGTACAAACACAGACATAGTCTTCCTGAGTGACCAGGGGCGAATGACTACAAATCTCAGCACTAAAGCTGATGCTCTGTGTCAGTCTCCACAGCAGGAATCCTTACCCAAAGGGATTACAAGTCTAAACAAAACAAAACACTTTCATTATGTTATATCAACCAGGATTGGCCTCAGAGAAAGCTGTAAGTAAAGAAGGTAAAATTCATCTTTAGTTCCTTCCGACTCCCCTTTCTGCATTCTTCTCCTCAGTACCAGAACCCTCTCCCTATCCTCCTTCCCAACTACCATTCTGTCCACCCATCTCATCTCTCTACTTTAAACCATACACTGGACAGTGTTGCAATATTTTAGACCTTTCTTCTCCTTTTCTCCTTTGAAAACTTGCTCCTACGTATACTACCTTTTCTTTTTTCTATTTTTGTTTTTTAGCTTTTTGGTGAGGCAGTAGGAGTTAAGTGACTTGCTCAGGGTCACACAGCTATTGTCAAGTGTCTGAGGCCAGATTTGAACTCAGATCCTCCTGACTCCAAGGCTGGAACTCTATCCACTGTACCACCTAGCTGCCCTACCTTTTCTTTTCTTTGATCTCATTGGATTATAGGCCTCATAGCAGTGCTGCTGAATCCAATGGCACGCACAGTTTCGTAACTTTGGGGGCATAGTTCCAAATTGCTTAACAGAATTTAAGAACTCTGATCAGTGTAATGACCATCCGTGAGTCCAGATGACCAGTGATGAATACTATCCATTTTCTATTAGAGAAGGGATGGACTAAATATGCAAAATGAAGAATATTTTTTGGACATGGCCAACATGGGAGCTTATTTTGCTTTACTACGAATATCTGTTACAAAGATTTTGCTTTTCTTTTTTTCCTTTTTCAAGGTGGGAGGGAGGTTTTGGAAGTCAGGAAAGTACTTTTCAATCGATAAAAAATTTAATTTAGAAAACAAAACTTGCTTATCTTGTGACACTATCTCAGGTCTTTGACAGTTGACTAATCTATGAATTACTGGCAATTTCAAAGTAAGATGAAAATGTAGGTAATGGTTGAACACGCTACTTTTCCTCAGGGCATTGATATTTTATAACAGTACTCCTAAAAATATAACCTCACCACAAAGTATATAAATTAGTGGAATTTCATACTATGCTGTAGGAGTGACATTTTGGGGCAAGGAGATCTTTCAAGGATACTCCTAAAATCATCTTTTATAAGATTGACCTTGTTAGGGACTCCTCTCAAAATACCATACATTCCATACGAGGTTATTTCTAAAAATATCTCAAGAAGTGGTGTTCTGCTAGCTGTGATCTCTACAAACTGCAAGCAGGTAGATGCAACTAAAAACATGATTATCATGAATAGGGTATGCAAAATCATAAACTCTCAAAGATGGCACTTAGATAAGTGTCTTTTTCCCTATCAAGAAAAATATTTTTATTTAAAAAATTAAATATGACAATAAAATAGTTAAATTATTACTAATTGTTGGTTAACTGTTTCAACTTTTGCCATGAAAAAACTTTTCCCTTTGTCAAGGAAAACTATCTCCAAACCTATTAAAACATGACTATCATATATATACATGTATATGTACATACATACACACATATATGTTAGAATTGTGGATTTTTACAAGATAATAGGTTTAAATAAAATTCAATGAAACATTTCTCATTGAAGCAGAAGCTGACTCATGATGAAATGTGGCCAAAAAAATCTATGAATTTAGCCTGTATACCTTTAAAGCATTTACCTGAGACAAGATAGGATTAATCTTGCATTTTTATCATTTTGCTAATGTTCTATATTCTGCATTAGACTAAAGGAACTAGGTCATAGGATTACAGGTTTTAGAGCTGGAAGGGATCTTAGAGATTATTAAGTACAACTCCCTTATTTTAAAGATGAAGAAAATGAGGCCCAGAAAAATTAAGTGGCTTATCTCAGGTTATTCCAACTGGAGTGAAAGGTGGGGGCTCATGACTTAAAGAACAAGAAAGATAAGCTCCCAAGAATTCTGGCCTCCCCGTAAACCCCTGAAGGGATAGAGTAGCCACATCCTGGGGATACAACTCATCAAGCAAAGTAGGAGTTAGGATAAGAACTTCCGAGCAGGAGTTACAGCTAGGTACAAAAACAGAAGAAAGAGCATAGCAATACCCTAAAAATGTAGAGGCTAATTGAGAATCTTCATGTAGACACACGGCAGAGCAGCACTAAAGATGGTGAATTCATGCTCAAATGCTCACTGACCACAGCACAGAGTTCCTCTAATCTAAATCCCTCCTTTTACTGCAGTTGTGGCCTCCATCCTTTTGAAGATGGAGAGCATCAGATTGTTGTCCTTGGTTTACTAACCCATCATAGACCTAAGGTAGCTCCTCCTCAGCCTTCTTCTCCCCAGGCTAAATAGATTCATATTTCATCATAGGAGGGTAATATACACCTTCTATGTCCTTCTGTACAGGCTCCTCAGAGACTGACCCTCACCATTAGAATGCCACAGATGACTCCCTAGCAAGGGCCAAGGTTAAGTTTTCCTTTCAACTGAAAATAATGTAAGCCCATTGAATATAGATACCTCATCTTATTCACCATTCTTATATGCAGGAAAATGAAAAATCACTTCAATCCATTTACATAGCTGGTATGTAAATTTAGAGTAGTTATCCATCACTAAAAAAATGAAATTATTTAAAACGGTACTTCATTGTACTTAAAATAGTTGTTCTAACATGAATTTTAAGTAGAGTGCACTAAATGCATTCCAAAAATAATTTCTCCTTAAAAAACCTTAACATACTGTCCTGCATGGGAGAAATTAAATAAATAATCATTGAATGGTCTAAGAGCCAACAACAAACTGAAAAAAAAGGGGATTTGAAGTCTAGAATGAGACAAAGGAGGTCCCTTTTAATTCTATACCTATCTACCTATTGGGGTTGCACTGTTTTCTGGATCACATTTTCCAGAGATGGACTCAGCCAATGTTATGACTTTGGTCATTAAGGATTTGGAAAACTATTGGGTAGTCATAAATCCTGGCCACCCCCCCCCAATCATCTTGATGGTCTCCCTCTACTTTCCATTTGTTCTGCTTGCATATTGGATAGGGAATATGCTAGAGGATAACAGCTGGGAAGAATGGGAATAATGAAGATATGCTGGGAATAGAGAGCAAGGATCAGACTAAAGAAGACATCCATCTTTCATGTCTTCCAACCTCCTGATGCTTGATTGGCTGAAAGGGACAGGCAGTCCTGGGAGCAGGGGGGAGAAGCACACACACCGCCTGTCTCTGACAAAATGGATTAAGAAAGATGATGGGTTACCTTTGGCTCTTACACTGTAGTCCGTATATCTTTGTGGAACCAGATGTTTTCCTGGATTTACCAGATTAATTCCAGGCCTAAGGAGAAAGACCACAGACTAGAGTTACAGAATTTTACAGCTGGAAAGGACCTTAATGCAATTTGACAAAAAAAAATATTTGTTGAATATTTACAAACCTACATTTTACAGATGATTAAGCTGAGGCCAAGGCTGGTTAAAGGACTTGCCCAAGGTCGCACAGCAAATTGGCAGCATAGCTGGGATAATAATTCAGGTCTGCAATCTCCTGGGCTAGTGCTCCCTCCACTATGCTGCACTATCCCATTGACATCATAGGGGAAGGAAAAGAAGGTGCAAAAATCACAACACCTTTCAGTTGCTGCCTAGGGATGCAATTAATGGCATAGAGTGCACATGCTGGAATCAGAATCAGGAAGACGAGAGTTGAAGTCCTGCCTCAGACATGTATTAGCTGTGTGACCCTGGGCAAATCATTTAACCTGCCTCAGTTTCCTTTTCTGGAATGTGGGGATAATAATAGCTCAAGTACTTGGTGAGGATTGAATAATACATAAAAACTGCTTTGTAAACTTTAAAGGTTCTATTAATGCTAGCTATTATTATTATTATTATTATTATTATTATTAATTACAGTGTCATCATCATTTCTTTTCCATCTTTTCCATAGCCCTAATTTAACTAATTCCTAGGCATTTACCTCTTTTGCTTCTCTCTCTTTTCTGCTAATAATTTTATCAAGTTCAAATTTCCCATGAATATTCCAAATCTGGACAAGCATTAAAAAACAAAAAAGTCCTTAAAGCCTCTGAAAGTATGGAGCATATACAGATGACTGCCTTTGGTAAAACATTTCATTATTATTAACATAGGCTTGTTAATTAAGTGAGAGTAGAAAAAGAACCTGGGAGTATTTCACAGGAACACTGCCTGCAGGTAACAGGGCCAACAGTCCCAAGATAACTGTTGAAGGGTATCAGAAATGTGGAAGTATAACACCTTCAATCCAGGCATTAAATTGACATCACTACCTAGGACTGAGCTGCATAAGGCTTACTGCTGGGGGGAGGCCGGCATGCAGGAATTATGGAAGATTCACTCTAGTAACTATGGTGTAGAATTGGACACAGCCAGGATCCTCATGTCAGATGGAACATGGGCTTTTCCTCACAAATCGCACACCAATGGTAACTGGTCAGATTCAAAGAATGAGAACCAGCTCTAATGTTCTAGCCTCCATCCGTCTACAATCTTTATAACACATGGTCAGTAAAGAAAATGTAGTATAGCAGGCCTCTGTGTCAGGACAACCTGGGTTCAAGCCTTGAACCCAGCCTCTGATACGTACTGTCTGTGCGATCAGCTTAACCTGTTAGTGTCGCAGGCAACTCTCTAAGGCAGCAAGTCATAGAATAGAGGGTGCTATACATTGGTAGAAGGGAGTTTCCTTCTCTGGTAGTTCCCTATACCTAGGAAAGCACAGACCTAAACCATAAAGAAAAATAATCAAAGGATGCAAAGGGATTTCTTAAGGTTATCTAGTCCATATCTGCATCTAAATCTTCCCTTGGATTTCTCTCTCTCTCTCTCTCTCTCTCTCTCTCTCTCTCTCTCTCTCTCTCTCTCTCTCTCTCTCTCTCTCTCTCTCTCTCTCTCTCTCTCTCTCTCTCTCTCTCTTTCAGACTAAATGTTGCTTTCTTTTGTTTTTCTTCATAGAGGCCTTGGACTCCACAGTAATTTGATGGGCTTTATTCCTGTAGTCTGATTAATGACCAAAAATAAAAAAAAGAAAAGAATTTGGGCAAGCTATTGTAGTCATCTGCTTACTTAATATTCAGAATCTCAAGCCCTTGTACAATAACCTTGCATCTTTTCCCAAAGATGTCTAAACACGGAGGCAATGCCAAAACTGAGTTCAGGATGGGGGTGGAGAGGTGGGTTGGGGGGACAAGGAGTTGGGGGATAGAAACAGAAAACTCAATCTCTTGATGTCAGATTCTGTTGGTTTTTAACATCATATTTCTTACAAAGTTTGAAATCTTAAAATGTTTGCCCAGGATTCTTTCCTTTCCATGATAGAGCTTTAAGGCTTTAAGGAAAAAAAAATCTCTTTCCCAACAGTTTTTGTCTTTTGTGTCTTTTTTCCCCCAACTTGTCCCATACTTTTAGATGGTTTTGAATGAGGTTAATAGTTCTTTTCTACTTTTAGCTAATTTATGTTATTATTTCTGGTTCAGAAGCTGCCAAGTGCAATGGAATTGTCCAAAAGTAAATCCAAGTTTGTCAAGGAAGAACATTTTCCCAGTTCCAAAATTAGAGGTGAAACCTATTGTACCCAACACTGTTAAGCTTTTCATATTGCCTCATGGCAGGGAACGGAGTTGGCCCTGTCAAGCTGAAATCTGCAAATCTAGAAGTTTAGATTTGATTCAAGGAATCCTGGAAGGCATTCAAAATTCACAGTGCTTAACCATAATGTGGAAATATTTCAAGGGAACTTCAAGGGATTGAACTTTGTGTGACTGACTGGGGAAATGTACTTACTGCTTGTAAGACCACAAAGGTAACTTTCCCCAAGGGAAAATTTCATAAATAACATGGATGAGCGATGTCTACATTTTTTTTTAAGCAGGCACCATGCCCTGCTTGCTTTCAGCACATTCTGTGTGTACTAGTTAGTTTTCCACTTCCTAGCTGTAGGCCCTTTAAGGTTTCTATGCACTGGAAAGCAAAAAATGATAATACATTAAATTTAAACAAATTTTAGTCTATTCTAGTGTGCTATTATAGAATCATAGAACAATAAAACTGGAAGAAGCCTTGATAAATCATCTGATCCAAGACCCTGCCTCCAAGCACACAGATGTCTAAAATATTGAGGACAGATAGCTTTCTATATGCCTCTTGAAGGTGTTTTAATGTCTAATGTCAACTATTGCCCCTAGAATAAGAAGGGAAAAAAAGCAAGAATAAAGTAGAAATAAAAACTACTGGCAATAGAAATAAATTAAAAAGAACTTTTAAAAAAATTGTACTTTAAAAATTTTTATTTGTATTTTGAAGAAAAAAATATTTGGCAGAATGATTAGTAGAAGTCAGAACAAACTGTTTTCTAGATTTGCATTTGCTTTCTTCTCTCATTACATAAAAGGTGAAAATGAAGATGGTTTATTATAAATAAGCTTGATACTTTTCAGCTTCTGAGCAGTATATGAGGGCACAATTAGAAATTGAAATTTCTTGCTGTGTTTAAATAGACAGAATCAAATAACTCCTTTATAAATATCTCTTTTTTTAAGCTTGCTAGACCTTTATAAGCCTCATACCCTTGTATTTCTATTCTTTTCTGTTTGGTATGAAGCATATAACAAGTTAAGTCACAACCCTCAACATAGTCATTGAGGGTATCAATACTAAACAAATCCCCAGTGATGATGAGGAATGTACCTCTCAAGGCTATAGTAGCAGAAAGATGAAGCTCCAAGTTATGGTTTATTTTCAAAACCATATGTTGAAAAGAGGAAAAATAAAGATTCACTTTTAATATGCAACTTCATCAGAGTAGCTGACAAGGAGAAGTTGTATGTGGGACCTAAAATAAGTTATTCCAGTCTGCCTTATAAGGATTACAAGTTGCTTTTTATTTCCTGAACTACAACAAAAAGTCATCTATTGACAGAGATATAACCTAATGCCTGAACTGAATAGGAACTTAGAAGCAAGAAGCGAAATGTAGTCAGAGAATTGAAAGAAAGTAGAGGGGATTATAAAAAAAGGGTGAAAATATTGGAAGAGCTCAGAAGAAAGGAATAATGAAAGTGGCAGGACTGCAGATATGAAATGAAATGTTCATTTCTTCAGTTAGGAAAATGCAAGTTTTGGCTGAAGCATCTTATACATTGTGTGATAAGTGGAAGTAAAACCTGCTGTTCCATAAGGCAAATACAGATATTGCTAACTTACTCAATAATTTACAGTGTAAATTTTTTTAGATAAAGGTCTCAGTTGCAAGATACATCAGTAACTGATTCAAATTTACAAGAATAAGAGCCATTCCCCAATTTATAAATTTATAAATGGATATGAATGGCAAGTTCTCAAGGGAGGAAATCCAAGCTATCAATAGCCATGTTAAACAAAAAAGTTCCAAACTTTGGAAAATTAGAGAATTCTCTAATTAGAGAAATGTAACTTGAAGCACTCTGAGGCTATACTTCATACCTATCAGATTGTCAAAGTGACAAGAAAATGACAAATAGTGGGAGGGGCCACAGTAAACAGGTATAGTAATACATTGTTGGTGCACCTGTGAAATAGTTCTGCCATTCAGTAGTTTAAAACCTATGCCCCCAAAGTCACTAAACTGTGAAAATCCTCTGACCCAGAGATATAAAGTAAATTAATTCAGAAATATTCAGTATGCTTTTTGAGGATCAGACTACTAAGCAGAAAAAAAAAAGAGTTCATCCCAATATTATGGCAATCTATAAATTTAGAGGGTAATTTTTAAAAAATTATAGTTAATTTTTTTACCTATTTCAAAAAATATATTGGGAATAAACTAGACCTGAGTCTTGAATGTTTTCTCCGCTAAGTTTTTGGCAGATCATCTACTAAGGTGCAGATCGATGGTAATGTGCATGGGTGGAAGACGCATTCACAATGATGAAATTGTGGATCTTGGAGATATGGTTCTGTTTTCAGTCTTCCTGAAAAGGTTAAGGAAAAGAAGAGTCCTTTTCCATAATCTAATAGAAATAAAATTACATTTTCAGTATCCTGGATAGAGCTATCATGCTACTGCTGTTATACCTTCTGCAGTTAATTGGACAGTCTCTGAAAAAATAAGAACTTTTCTTTTATCTAGATTGATTTATTTCCAATGATTTTAATAGAGTTTTGCTTCATTGGGGACTAGAAAAATCAGCGTTGATATGTTTGATTTCAACTTTCAGAAGAGTAAATGCACAAGCATTTATTTTTAAGTGAAAGCTGAAGGAGGAACACTTTTATTTCTTTATGTTAACACATCCTTATGATAAAATAGTATATGTGATT